CGCCTGGTGCAAGTGCTCATGGGCAGAAAAAACAAAGACGTACCAGCAAATAGTTTCATACTTCTCTATGGTGACTTCGTATTTCATTTGCCGCTATAAGTACAACGGCATTAGTTTATGTGGTAGTGGAGTGTGTAGTAACTCCGCTACCGACGATAATGCCGCCGGCAACGGCGACGGAGTAGCGGCTATGCGGTGATGGTAATGACAATGATAGAGTAATTTTCCCAAGCGCTGTGGTTACTCACTAGTTGGGTAGGCTTTCTTAGGCACGATACAAGGTCCTAACAGTCTCTTGCAACGTTCCTTTGCCAGTTACGCCCTGCATATCTGGTTTTTCGTGTTCGACTGCTAGTCGGACACCCAATGCTGCACTTTACCTTCTTTTTCTCTCTTCTAGCTGCTTTTCTGTCCTAGAAAAGCAGCTATAGAAAGCTAAAAAGAATAGTGTGCACATGTGAGTCAGCCGGCCGTCCGTTTGTCCCAAACTAAATAAGGATCAAGGCTGTTTGGGCTCGTCAACCCTTACCTTGCTGCTCTTCTTCCGGCTCTGAATGTGACCACCATGTTTGGGCATTCCGTGGCACACAGTTGGGTGTTACTGTAGCTGACTTTAGCGAACAGTGGCAATAGGGACCCGGAGCTAGCGACTCCTGGTGCGATTAATTAGTACGCACTCGAGCCGACGAATAGAAGGATAGAGTGGTGGAAGGGAGGCATTAGGAGCTGCGACTGGATGAGGCACTGCTAGAAAAAAGGGAACAATAAAGTCTGCTTTTGAGAGGAAAAATAGTAGGACTCCCTCAATTCTGTCGCTATCGCTGTTAAGAGTTCAAGCAGAAGAGCCATCAGTGCAGTATCGTTGCGCAATACATTTGGTGGTCGGCCACTCCAGACCTTCCTACTCAGAGCTCCGAAATGTGAGGGAGTGCTAGATAATATGTACAAGACGCTGGCGGGGAACGGCGTGCGCAGTAATCTCGAAAAATAAGCGTCACATATCTAGAGCTCATGAGATGCACTCGTATGCACGAACACTAAAGCAAGTTAAGATAGTTGTAGATACGGAGCGAGTGAGAAAGAAGGCAAGAGTTTCAAAGGAGAATGTGCGCTCTGATTGAGCAAGCGTGCGGCAAATTTAAAAGGCGGCAAAGAAATTGGGAGATAGGGTAATATGGGACGGTGGATGAGGACCATATAATATATGCAAGTAAAGCGAGACACAAAAACCAGCGAAGGAGAGCAGCGATCGGGCCAAAATGCGACAAGACTCGAGTCATTACGGCGCCGTCTGACAAACGGTAGATAATCTGCAACAGAAAACGAAAAGAAGAATGATATATGCAGGGCGTGTTACGAAGGTTTACTAATATGACAACCAAGGATGTTAACGCTAACGATGATGTTACAAACGGCGGACGAGTTTTCTGTCGGAAGTACTATGTTCAACATAGCGTCAACCTGGAAAGGTTGTAATATACGGCCGTTGCTAATTTGGACTCGCTATCTGGTAGTATGTATATGTGCCTAGAAAGCAGTGTTGGAGGCAGACGACGTCTATGATATCTGTAGGGGGTCACGAACAACGTTGTAGTTTCAGTCTCGTTCGAGAACAGTTAGGATGGGATGTGAGAATGCTGTAGGGGTTCTGTTGCGCTTGCAAGAGGTACGGGCGGCGACACGGCTTCATCGCGGAAGAGGAAATAAAAAATAGAGCAAGAGGTAGAGACTAGAGGGAGTAGATGGGAAAGTAGAACCTTTTGCGTATGCAATTCGCTGCCGTTGGACTTACCTAAATGATTTTCTTATTGGAATCGAAGGAACAAGGAGATACAAAATCGCGTTTTCGATAATTTTGCACTTTCTGTGATTTGTTATCTATTTATTTAAATCTGACTCTTTAAAGTAAAAGTAAAGTAAGGTAATCTTTAAAGTAAAATTACCGGTTGGGGATATGTGGTATGAACTGCTTACAAAATAGAGGCCTCACCCTAATTTTAGATCCTACAATAATACATGAATTCAACATATGTGCATACATAAAGGTCCAAAAACGCATGTATATGTATTTGTAACATATGCACTGTTTTTATATAACAGTTTATTCTTGTCATGTTCCTCTTTAACTGAAGGAGGCAAAGCGAGACGATCGCTATTTTTATGCCCGGCGAAATTTATTGCACTCGCACGTTTTCTTTATGGAATCTTTTTCCTTCCGTTAGCTCTTCATTGCTCATCTACTCGTGTTTGTCGCTATGTCCCTTCGCTCTCTTATTTCTGCGTGTTGAGGGAAAAAGGGACATTCGCTCGTTTTTCCTCAGTTCTTTCCAACCAGTTAAGACCTTAGCAGGCAGTTTTCAGTTCATTCAATCTTTGACAGGATTGGGGAAGAAAACAGCACTTTCTTTCCAACCAGTGTGAAGCTGTTAGCTGGTACTGCCTCTAACTGATTTTGGATTTCTCCAGGGTGGCGACCAACCTCTAATCCTCGTCTCTCGAAAACGATCGCCCCATATAGCCAACAGAAGGAAGATAAGCAAGGTCGACACAAGGCTTGACCGATCCTCTTTCGCCTCCGTCGAGCGTCAACGAGCGTTTAGATCGAGTTTAGCAAAAAAAAGAACTACTATGCACAAATAGCTTCCGTTCGATCGTTATCGTCAGCTGGGAGTAAATGTCGCAACAGCAGCGGTCCGTACGGCTTGTGATTCTCCAGTACAGCGGTCAATGTTGTAATTCACACCGTAGTGCATGGTGTAGTGTAAGGGCATATTGTATGTAGGTGTGTGTGAGTTTCTTGTAGGGCCAAGGAACTTGGCAGACCAAATTACTCCCACAAACGTGGATCGGCCGAAAACCCTTCAATGCGACAGCCAAAACACATCTTGCTTCTAGCCGTGAACGAATCGGCCGATATTTTGGAAGTATAACCCCAGCAGCAGAAGAAGAAGGCGAGTAAAAAGTGGGTCGGGATGAAAGCGTTAAGAGAGGTTTCTCCAGTTCCAGATAAGACCCCATGGCCACTAAAGGGGTTTGGGGATAAAAAGGGCAGGAGAGACTGAAAGTGTTCATCGGGGTCATGGTGCGGTGAGGGTAGTGACTCAAGGAATTTTCTGGGGTTTCAGGCCCCTACATTAGCCAAATAGCTGTTACGTGTAGCAAAAGCTCGTCCGTGAAAACTGCTAATCCTGACTAACTGACGCATAACAAGCCAGCTTGCGGAGAGAAATGCCTTTCTATCCTTATCGGAGGTCTATATAGCCAATGGCTATGTTTTGGTCATGCGATACACACACAGATAGATATACAGATAAATAGATAGATATAGATTAGATAGATAAATAGATTGATAGGATAGATAGATTAGATGTATATATATATATATATATATATATATATATATATAAGTAATCAGCGCAGTTGATGGATGCACATGGTACAGAATTTAGTATTTCCTGATAACACTTTGCGCTTCAGCGAAATAATAAATATTTTAAAACATATGACGTAGAGTACTAAGTCTTGTTACGCATTTCTAAGTGATGGGCTTTCAATTAAAGCTCACAATTTTTTAGGATACTTTTGAATAGGAACTTGCTGTACCTACTAAGTCTATATTCCGTTATTTTTGCTACGTTGGCATTTTAGACTATGATTATGTTCGAAAGCCACCTTTCGGTTAAAGACGTTTCGAGCTTCTTGTATTCGTTTACAGGTATAAATCTTATGACCCTTGCCTAAATCCACATCGTATTTTTGAATGATTAAATGTGCTAGTCCCGCGCGTGTTTCGGACATTTTCATGAGAAACTGGTTTATTTTATTTATCCTTTGAACTTGAACTTTTAACGTACATTTACTTAAATTGTATCCCAAGCACGTTGGTACACTTAGTTTTGGATAAAAAAGAAAAATGGTCAAATCCGCGCAACGAAATCGGTGATAGTCTGCGATTCTGAAACTGGCAATGGTCGATGGTATACGCGCATGTTTAAATATGAATTAAAATCAGCAGTCTCATTGTACAACGCTACATACAGAAACCAAGTCTTTGCAAATGCTTGTCCTTCTTTATTATTGGTAAATGGTTCCATCGCGAAAGGACTGTACGACCAATCCTATCTTCACTATTTAACGTGTCTGGCCCAACGATCGTTCTTTACAAGGCTTCAATTATTCATCTTAAATCTCCCATAAATATCGTTAGAAGTTAGTACTGTCAGTATCAAAAACGTGAATAGCCTCGTACAGAGCCTATTTTCTTTTTTTCTATTTTTTATATTTCTATTTTTTTCGAAGCGAAAGGATTAAGCGTCATCTGAAGTAACCACCAATATTCTAAAGAAGGTTCCAATAACCTTAGACAGACCAAAAAAACACGTACTGATTTCAAGCGAAAGACACGGTGGGTTGACTACTGAAATATTTTTTTAGGACATGTTCTCATTTGAGTTCAACGACTCAGTTGAATTCCTGCCCTGTGATAGTGCAATAATAAGGTTTGCATGCTAAGCTTAAGGACACGTAAGATGAACTACGTCTGAAACTGCAAACTCGTCTCATTTCGTACTAAGGGTCAGCCGCGAAAAGCAACGGCTAATGACAGCACCGGATGTAAAACCCAGAATATTTAATTTTCAAGGTTTTTACATATTAACATGTATACAAGTGTACCCTCATGTAGACTAGACAAGTCCGTACAATAAAAGCACATGGTGCAATTAGATGAAGACCCATAGAAGTAAGTTCAAGGTCGACTCAGCCTTGCAAACCTAACTTCACGTTGTACATGTTCAGGCTGAAACCTTCTTTGCAACTATTTTTTTCAACAATCTACACCAGGACAGTGCTACAATCGTCTATTATTTCATTACCAACCCGGACTGTCTGACGATGGAGTTTATAAAATGCACGAATATATTTCAGTTATTTTATAGACTGAAGTTAATAACTGATAATAAGAGAGCATGTTAGAAACGATTCAGTAATAGGGCTCTTACCTGCGGCTAGATGAAGTGGATGGGTATTAAACTGTTGATCAAGGGTAACGCTGACGTTATGGCCCGCCTTGTAGAAAAAGGACACCTCATGCCAGCGTAGATCATTACATGATCCTTCTTGTGAAATGATGGCGAACTCCTTTGATGATCCGCCTAATTTGAGCCGGACCTGAAGTCATCAAGGAAAGAATTTTTCGCTCATTACTCAAAACATGTAATGTACATACCTTAGCGATGTACCAGCCAAACATACCGGTACCACAGAAATAGTCCACAATTATGCTGTATCGTATTAGTATTATATCAAGCGACAAGCACCATCTGCAAGGCATATCAGTATTTAAGATCAATATATATTTAATTTATTTCTCTAGTGCGCTTCTTTAGTTGACTCCTGTACCTTATATAAAATTATCACCAACGCTATATGTAACCCTTTTTACCAGTACGATAGCAACTTTCGTTCGTAAACATCCGTGGAACGACCAGCACTGCGCGCTGTTGTCGCTGTTGAATGGACCGCCGTTAATGTAGAGTCGACTTGCTTTCGGAAAAACAACTTGCACTCGTCTCCAGTTTCTCCTCAGAGTACTCTGGTCTAGGAAGCCACATGGCTTCATTCGGTAGGGCTAGTCATCCTTCCATCAACTCTAACGTCCACAGTAGCCTCACAGGCACCCGCTTTCCCATTTCATCGAGGCCTTCATTTTTCAAAGGCGTAGCCTTTTCAGCTGTTTCGGCTGTCTCCGGCTTCAATGGCCCATCTCGCCTCATTAAGGGTTACGGAAGGACCTGGCAACAGAAAAACGGCTCAGGCTTCTCCTGTACGAACGTATGCAGGCAGTGTTATTGCTCATAACGCTTTCACTCTCTCCTTTTCCTGTTTTTTTTACTACTTGCCTCCCTGTCTTATTACCTGTTTAAGCAGTGTCTCGTTTTCCTTCGTAGATTCTGTTTAATAGAACTCGTGAGTGTGTAGCCAAAGTCCTTTAACGCGGAAGCTAGACTACTAAGCCTTTCTAACGCCTTATTGCTTCAGTTGCTTTTTATTTTTTTTTTTTTTGCTTGATGCTTACCAATTCAAGATACCTGGTTCTCTGATCCGATGAGGTTTGTGTGACTGAGTTCTAAAGGAAGACACGTTGTCTAGGATGCAACGTCGGCCCTAGAGGACTTGTCGACCTTTTAAAAAGTTTAGCCTTATGATAAATTCCGATTTAGACTTTAAGCATTTATAATACGTGTACTACACTATCACTAAATCTTAGGATGCCTGTTTTCGAAGGCCAGTGCTACTGTAGCTTTTCTTCAACCGTTGCATCTTATCTGTTGCGTATATGAGCTTCATAAATTAGCGATATAAGCACACTAGTTTTGTCACGTTTATGTTACGATGTGGGATATATGAATCGTGTCACAACAATCCTAATTAATCGTTTAGCTTTTTGGAAGCGGTTTCTCACAAGTTGAAGCTGATGAAAGCAAATGCTATTTGATTTACAGTAACCTTATTATATTACACAGTCGACCTGTTCGGTAAAACTGTTGTAAGTTATCCAGTTCCATGGGCTCTCTAGATACTCCTGAGCTGATGGCGAAACGGGTTACGTTTGAGCCTTAATATAAGTTCCATGTATCATTTGCAGTAGTAATGAAAAAAATAAAGAATTCCCGCTCCCACGCTATGAAAGTACGTGAATCGAACGCAACAGTTCCGTTGCGCATTCAGATTGACCCTGATAATCTTGGCTGCTTGCTGCTTCACAGGGACCAGACAACTTCACCATCCTTCATCTCTTCCTCACTACCATCTCATCTAATCATCGCGTAACGATCCCCAACGATGTGGCTAGGAGTCTAAGAAGATACCAGTTTAGTATAACCCAACAAAGCAAAGGCTGATAAATGAGATAATACAGCTAGTCATTTTGCTAGCCACAAATGCTGACACGTGTTACGACCCCCATTTTGACGAGGCTGAGGCTCAGGTAGTCGACACGCGGCAGGGGGCTATCATTATAGCAGAGAGAGTCAGTACCACGTTTCTTTTTCTTTCAGCTACGAACACACGAAGAGGAAGAGAAACTGGAAGCGGTGAAGATTCGACGAGGATTTCCGCGTTTCTCGTGCGATAGAGCTATGATTCCAGCAACAACAAGAGCGCTTACGATGGACCAACAGGCTACATGGCAGCAGTACATTGGAAGTGTCCTGTCGGATCACCCCAAGGCCTAGGGCAAAGCCATGGTCCAGCCTGCGTAGATTTGCCGGCCCTCCACAGGACGGAAGTCGATGAGGACGGAAGTAATCTTGAAGGAAAAGACTAACTGTTCCAGCCTGCAGACTCGCTCTTCCCCTTTTGCCTGTCTCTCATTTGTTGCTTCCTCTGACTACCTCTCTCTACAGCGCTTTCGTTACACGTGTTGCTATAACACGTATTGCACTGGCAGCAGCAAAAGGCTCGTAGGCGATCTCCTTAGGCTTGTCCCATCTTGCAGGTCCGCAACGTTCCCAATATCGTTGCAAAAAGATCGCGTAAGAAGAACCTCAGTGAATCAACGTCTCTGTTAGTGAATCGTCTTTTTTTCTATTTTATAGGTATCGTTGTAAGCCAGCCCAGCGTATAACTGGGCTGTTACAGTATACAAGCTCATACAAATGCACTTGCCATGAATAAGTGAATGTACGGGAAAAATAGGAGCCCAGGTCACCGAGAACGACATAGGCGTATATGGGAATCTGTGTGTTAAAGGGTAAATGGCATGGCTCTATTTTTCCCGGTGTTGACATGGATAAGGTTAGTAATACCATGAGGTAATGCCAGCTTGTGTCGAAGAGAGCCTTTAGGTGTCTTCATTAGATTATCTATGAGGTGTGTGCGGATGATTTAGGAGTGTTATTAGTGACACTTAGGATGAAAATAAAAACTGGGAGTCTTCGTATATATTATCAATGGTGAGAAAAATTAAAATTAAATTAAAGCTAAGCTATACGTATTTGCTTTTATGTGATGCTTAACGGCATTATTGAATGTAAAACTCTAGATATTTTAGTCATAGCTATTCAGCGTTTTTTTCCTTAGTTTGATCAATAGATATTAACATTTCGAAGATACTTGCTTTAGCTATCTCTTTCAATCTAAATATATCATATGCGTCCAACAAGTGGAAACGGTAATTCTATTTTTTTGGGTGTATATTTCCACAACGGCTAAAGAAGTTTTGGATTTTAGTATAGACCTCAAAAATTGCATAGAATCTGTATAAGGTTCTAGAGGAGCTACTGCATCTCGGAGGTTCTACTAAATATTTAAGCTACTTTTTCAATAATGATTCTTGTTTTTTCATTTTTTTTTAGCTCAAACCCATAGCAATTTAACTGAATTTGGTCCAAATTCGATTTCTTGTTCATTTGTACGTTCGATTTGTATTCCTATCAATGCAAACGTTATGCTTAACTAACAGCATGATCAGATCATGCGACCCAGACGTTCCTAAATAGTATTTCATAGCTTCTGTATAATACATGTAAAAATTTTGGCTCACAATACGAGAAGAAGCATGTGGATATGAACTTCTTCACTGAAAATAGTAGGCATGACCTGAAATATCAGATGGTGTAAGGCCTGACGAGAAAGACGAAGAAATTTCCCCTTCGATAAGGGAAGGTGCTATTAATGCCAGTTGGAAACACACGTGTCGAGTATGCGTAGCTGCAAAACCGAACACTTCCATAGCAGTAATTTCAGTGCTGGATTCTGCATAGTCCTAGTGACCAGAAGTCGGCCAAAATAGAACCTTATGTACGAGACAGAGTGAAATAGACTGATTAATAATCCATTCGGCCGATTGGTGCTAAATTGGATAAAGCACGTTTGTTTTGGCGTGAGTTTGACGGGTTTGAGGTCGGTTATTATCGCACGATTCGGAGCGACTTCAGCTTCGATAGACGAAGCGTGACAACATCCCATAAAGGAAGTAACTACGCCGTTAACAGTTAAATTGACATTAATTATCAGTATATGAACAGCGCGTCATAATAGGTAATGTAAATTTTCAAATACGCTGAAAATAATAAGTGGAAACTACTCTGACGAATTATTGAATGTCTGCCTGCCTACCAGCCTGCCCGTCGGCAAAGGCCTTAGCATAGACACAACACAGATACCCTGGCCGCACATATCATGCCCTATTGGAATTGGCTCAGGGAAACTTTATAGCGAATGACTCGACATTAAACACAATAGTATCTCAAACACCTCTTACTGTTGCTTATTTAAAAACATGTATGATTTACGAACAACCGACAATGCACGCTATCTAGAAATGAAGAGCGGTTTAGAAAAGTACGCTTGCAGCTAAGTTTAGCTGAAGATCATCCTAGACTATGCGTATAGCAACTATAGTCGATTATTAAACTCCAAATATATGCAACAAAATCTAAGCTATATAAAGTGAGCTATAGGTCTGGATTTTGTTTTCAGATGGAAGGGCCATAGTATTCGTAACTACGCTCGGTGGAAAATCTCTACATTATTTTCTTTTCAGCACGAAACAAGCTTAATCCATGATCTGTAGTCTATATTTCAATGGGTTTGTTGTTTTCGAAAATTTCAACGCGCCGAGCTTTTACATAGAGGTCAATACGTATCGACGAGAGAGAGAAACCTATGGGGATGCGTGTGAACGCACCAGTATCAATAGGAAACTAGGCACTAATGAGACCTGAGTATGGAAAGAAGAATACGCGAACAGGAAGGCACCATCATAGGCGTGATTTGAGAACCAGTGCCCCGATCCCGTTGTTACAAACTAATAAACAATCACGCAAAATACCTTCATCGCATATAAATAATCGCTAGATATATCGGCTACATATATCGCATATAAAAAGAAGCCGTTTTATACTTTTGCTTCAAAACTGTTTTTTACTTTTCCTATAGGAATCGGTCCACTTTTTTCAACTAACCAAAAACTATTTTATCTTTTGCGATTTCGTTTATTATACGATAGCTTTAACCAACATTTTAATCATAATCACATATCACCCAGTTCTGCGGACAAATCTATTGGCGTCAATGATGTCAGATTTTTCCACGCAGCTTTGTGTAAAGAATAGAACGGTTCTCGTTTAAAGTGGACCCCACACTCTTGTCGACTCGCAAAATAT